TTCCGATTTTTTTTTTTATTTTTTATATATATTTTCAGTTTTAGTTTTTTTATCTTTCGGTTTACAAGTTCGAAAATTTAAAAGTTCCAAAGTTATGAATTCGGAGGTTTATGTGTTTAGAAGTTTACGTGTTTAGAAATTATAAAGTTTACGGGTTCGAAGTTTCGCGGTTTCGAAAGTTTATGAAATTTGTGGGTTCGGAAGATTGTTGGTTCGAAAGTTTATGGCTTCATGTTTATTGTATCTAAATTATTTATGAATACTCTTGAGAAGTTATTTTTCTTAATTTGCGTACCAAACACCGAAAAATAAATAAGATTACTACTTGTTCTCCAAGAAAATATTTTCCGTCATACCGAACACACCCAAGGGTAAAGTAAGAAAAAACTAATTAATTTAGTCTTGAACTTCTAAGATAACAAATAATTTGAGGCAAGCATTTTAGAAAGCATGAGATATAATTTGAGACGGAGGAAATATTTACTAGTAGTTGAAGTTTCGCCATAAAATTTTGGGTTTAGAATTTGAATTCTAGTAAATTAATTACTTCAAGCTAAAATAGAGATTTGAAGATGTAATTCAAGTGAAGTTTTCCAAATCTTCAACTTCCACGATAACGAACGGGAAAAAGATTCCACGATAACTTGGAAAAAAAGAGGGAAAAACTTCTGCTGTAACTTTCTCAAAGTAAAGTTTATGTTCAGCCGCAATCTTTTAACTTCAATAAACTTTTTTCAATTTCAACTGATATATTTTGTCCAAAAACATAAACTAGTACATATATTTGAATATTTTAATGAAAAATATTGGAATTTCACAAAGAGTATTATGCTTAATTTCTTAACCCTATTAGGACCGGAAAATATTGGGTTGCGAGAAATTCCAGCGGCTTCAAAATTAACGAGTAAAATGACATTCACTACTGACATGTTTAAAAGGTAAAAAATATGATCATTAATTATAATAGACTGTAACATGCTTTTTCTTACCGCTGAATATCACAAAAGATTACTCTGCTTTACCGAACTTTTCTCATACCTCCTTTTCATTCAATTGGATAAAACTTTACATTCTGCTTTACCTAACTTTTTCTTCTACTTCCCCCTAATTGGAATATCTAAAAGAATCTCCTCCCATCGATTCTGTTTAATAGTCTCTTCCATCTACCAGATTGATGCACTAAATTAATAAGCCTACTATGTAGGATTAATAAATCGTTTTCGGTGACTACAATGCGTGGTTATCAATATCGTGGTAGAATATTAGCCAATAATTGTGAAATGTTTCAAACACAACTTTAATTTTTTGCTGACAGCGACAATAGACTTCACCGTTCAAGTTCCTGATGTAGATTTGCGTTACCAACTTCAAAAGAACAACAAAATATAATCCCACTTAGTGAGATCTGAGGAGAGTAGTGTGTACGCAGACCTTACCCCTACCCGGGATAAAGAGGTTGTTTCCAAATAGACCCCTAGCATCCTTCCCTCCAAGAACTTTCCACCTTGCTCTTGGGGAAACTCAAACTCACAACCTCTTGGTTGGAAATGGAGGTTGCTTACCATCAGCGCAACCCCTCTTGTCAACTCCAACTCCAAAAGAACACACATACAAATTATCCAAGCAGTGCCCCAAGCTCTTGAGCAATTACAGAAGGTTAAATGTAACTCCCCACCTTAATTCCTAAATATACCTCTAAAACAGCATGGCCATACTACCACGATCTCGAAGCTCCGCAACCTTGGGTAGTACTTTCAGGTTTTAAAAACTTGGACCAAATGTTATCTGTTAAACAGTCTTATCAGCCTTCTGCAGAACAAAAATTGCTCATAATAATATAGCACATCTGGTTGAATGAAGAATATGACGCAGAGAATCTCAGATTCGTCAATGAAATTATTACTTTTGGACTCTGCAAGTTTGGATGCAAGGTGATATCTTTGTATTTCGGCCCAGATAAATAGATAGATGAAATTCGTCGATCCATAAAGTAATGCGCAAGAGAAAGTGATCCATCAAACTAGAGAGCCGGAGAGAAACTACTCATTTCATCATCAAACAGGATTACCAGATATACTGGAGATACAGAATACAAAAGGCTTTAAATGCAGACAACCAACTTAATTCTCTTCACAAAGATCTAGTCCACTAACTAAATTGCTGTACAACTATTTATGCACTATTCTAGGACACTCTTAAAAGACTTATTGAACTTTCCCTGGAGCTAGATTACATACAGCCGATAAGCTGACTTGCTTAATACAACAAATTGCTACCAATAACTTAGGAATTTACATATAACTCTAGATTCTGTACATGATGGACTTTCAAGAAGTTCCCAAAGGATACACTATGTACAAATATCTACATATAATTATCATCCTTAACCTACCAAAATGGACACCACCTGAAATAAAGAACAAGAACCAATGATTAGACCAAAGAACAAATAAATAATATTTTACTCTGCATCTCA